AAAAAATTGTCAATGGCGTCACTGGCCAAAAATGGGAAGTGGGGGAAAATTGAATTCTATTTAAAAAATTGCGCTTTGAGTAAAAAAAATTGACCTGTCCGAGCATTTTTTCGAAAAACCAGCTACTTCCATTATAATGAATTTATTCCTTTCATTTGAACCATACTGTATTCTAAATATTATAAATAATATTTTATAATATTTTTCTATCAATTATTTAATATACTTTTTTTGGTTTCCCTATTCCAGTACGTTTTATTTATAACAAAATATGTATAAGTCTATTCCGTACCTGTTGATATTTAATATAACTACTATTTTTAACATTTACATAATTTTCATCCGTTTAATCACAATTCAAACGTTTTTTTTTACTTTTTAAAATCAAGAAATCTTAAACTTTATTCATATTAAGCGGTCAAATAACTAAAATTAATTAATTAAAGTTTATTCCGTTTACAAAATATAAACCGTCCATCTTTACCTGTATATATTATAGATTATATGAAATTTAAAAAAAAAATGCAGTGAAAAAATCTCCGAATGAATCTCTAGAACCAGTCCTAGTTAAAAGGCGATGAGGCTTACAGCCTACAAAGATATATAGTCTAAGCACTTTACCTTTATTTCAAAAATACGATATTTTATAAAAATAAGTCCATTACGGTTTCATTTAGACTTAAAATTTATTGTAATTTCAAAATATAAAATTCAGTTGATTTAATAAACACAATTTTTATCAATATAATTTGACTTCCATTCTTGAATAGATATTTTTGATGTGTACTAGAATTGTTAGTTTTATAAAATATAGAACTTTTGAGGTAAGCGCTCAGACTAAAAGGCTTCTAATAACACTTAGTGGTCAATTTTTATATCACTCTACGATTCTATATTGTTATGTTTACATCTGGCACATATTTTTACAACTTACTAAGATACTATAATATTATTCCCAAATAAATATAAATTATAAAACAATACGAAAAAGTTTAAATTGTTATTATAGTACAGTCATTTGGATCTAAAATAAGAGGTTACTTGGAAAGTTTTGAAAACGAGTAATTTTATAGATTTCGATATGCTCTTTCCGAATTTTAACTTTGCCCCACCTCGTATCTTCGCCGATCGCGTCGCCATATTGGAAAAAGTAATCTTCTTGACAATATCTCCTTTCCGATTCATTTCACTATAAAAACATTTATACACAAAATAAAACTAGAGAAAATGTCCTACAATTTATCTAAGTTTTAATATTTCCTTACCTTTTTAGTATTTCGATAAAATAGTAGCTCATACAATTCCGAATTACCACAATAGTCACCAACTTTATTATCGCCATCACTAAACGATATTTTGCCATTAGAAAATTTTACTTCCAAATTTCCTACCACGATTTTATTCACCTCATCACCCATATATATGCCATAACGCGTACCATATTGCCTTTCGATATTTTTCCAAATGTTTATCAATAAAAATTCCATCATCATCCTCGCGCGCTTTCAAAATCTTCATCGTATTTAGTAGAGTTCGGTGATTATACCCCTACTTCTCAATTAACGATGGGTGTAATATCGATTTCTTGTTTTACGCTGGTGGGGTTAGTGGTTGCGGCCTTTGAAATTACATTCAATGGCTTCGTCAGTGGCTCATATATTTTTTTTAGAACCTGCATACTTTCGGCACACCCACTTTTTATGGCATTAAATTTCTAACTGCAGTTCCTCTTTTATATCGAAAACTTTTTTATTGGTATACATTCTATTTATCGGGACCACCTGCCACCCCGAATGGTACTTTTTATCCTTTTTTGTATCTACCATCACTTATATCTTTATCTTTTATTTTTAAAAAACCATGTTTTTCACCCCAACATTCCGCACACATTTCCTAAACTTTCTTAAAAGAAACATCTGGAGCTACATGGTCTGAATATATATGATAAAGATTTAAGTAGTCTTGTTTAAAGATAAAAATTAGATTAGCATTGTCTCTAATTAATTGCTTGAGGAGTTTTGAATATGTTTGGCCCAAATAAAAGCAATCTATATTTCTATGTCACCCCAAGCTAAAATAAGACCTTATAACATGTTTTTCACAAATCACATCGTCTACCATCACTTATATCTTTATCTTTATTGATTACAAGAAAACCATGTTTTTCACCCCAACATTCTGCACACATTTCCTGAAATTTCTTAAAATAAACATCTGGAGCTACATGGTCTGAATATATGTGGTGGAGATTTAAGTCGTCTTGTTTAAACATAATAATAAGATTAGCGTTGTCTCTAATTAATTGCTTAGGAAGTTTTGAATATGTTGGCTCAAATAAAAGCAATCTATATTTTTATATCACCCCATACTAAAATAAGACCTTATAACATGTTTTTCACAAATCACATCGTCTACCATCACTTACATCTTTATCTTTATTTATTACCAGAAAACCATGTTTTTGACCCCAATATTCCGCACACATTTCCTGAAATTTTTTAAAATAAACATCTGGAGCTATATGGTCTGAATATATGTAATAGAAATTTAAGTCGTCTTGTTTAAACAAAATAATTAGATTAGCGTTGTCTCTAATTAATGGCTTAGGGAGTTTTGAATATTTTGGCTCAAATAGAAGCAATCTATATTTTTATGTTACCCCATGCTAAAATAAGACCTTATAACATCCTGTTTTTCACAAATCACATCGTCAAATATAAAAAAAAGAATTGGGCTTGGCATCTACTGGTTGAATTATATCTTTATTATTGAATGTAAAATAACCTAGTTCTTTTATCGGCGTCAAAACATTTTGCAAGTATATACACTTCTTTTGGTATAGTGATTTTAAGCAGATTTAAATGTTTTCAAATCGCAATCCATTTGGTTAAAGAAGTAGCGATAACCTAACATTTGTTTTACAGCACTTAAATGGCCCTATTAGAAGGCAGCGTATTGTATAGGGCAACAATGGACCATGTCTAGACGCCTTATTTTCACTAAGGCCATCGCCAACTTTTTTTATACTTTTTTGTATCTACAATCACTTATATCTTTATCTTTATTGATTACTAGAAAACCATGTTTTTCACTACAACATTCCGCACACATTTCCTGAAATTTCTTAAAAGAGCTGGAGCTACATGATCTCATTATGTGGTGGAGATTTAAGTCGTCTTGTTTAAACATATTAATTAGATTGGCGTTGTCTCTAATTAATTGCTTGGGGAGTTTTGAATATGTTTGGCCCAAATAAAAGTAATCTATGTTTCTATGTCACCCCATGCTAAAATGAGACCTTATAACATCCTGTTTTTCACAATGTTTTGCACCACAACATTTCGCACACATTTCCTAAAATTTCTTAAAAGAAACATCTGGAGCTACATGGTCTGAATATATGTGGTAAAGATTTAAGTCGTCTTGTTTAAACATAATAATTAGGATTAGCGTTGTCTCTAATTAATTGCTTGGGGAGTTTTGAATATGTTTAACCCAAATAAAAGCAATCTATATTTCTATGTCACCCCATGCTAAAATGAGACCTTATAACATCCTGTTTTTCACAATGTTTTTCACCACAACATTCCGCACATATTTCCTAAAATTTCTTAAAAGAAACATCTGGAGCTACATGGTCTGAATATATGTGAAAAAGATTTAAGTCGTCTTGTTTAAACATAATTATTAGATTAGCGTTGTGTCTAATTAATTGCTTGGGGAGTTTTGAATATGTTGGCTCAAATAAAAGCAATCTATATTTTTATGTCACCCCATGCTAAAATAAGACCTTATCACATCGTCAATTATAAAAATAGAATTGGGCTTGGCATCTACTCGTTGAATTATATCTTCATTCGGTATAGCGATTTTGAGTCGATATAAATGTTTTCAAACCGCAATCCATTTGGTTGAAGAAGTTATTTTCACTAAGGCTATCGCCAATTTTTTTCATCTAAATTCTCCACACAAATACTATTCTTTACTTTGACTATGCGCATCGTTAGGCTGCCTTAAGGTATATAAGCGATAATCTGACGTATCATTGTTCTTGTTCTTTACAAGAACATGTTGAAATGAGTTTGTTTTTAGCCGAAACGCGTGTTGAAATACATTTTTGTTGAAGAACTGCTTTTAGGCATCATTGATGCAATAAAGCGGCGCGAATTACAAAGATACGAGGTGGCACAGTTGCATTTCAGAAGAAGCATAACGAAATCTATAAATTTACAATACTTCCTGAAAACTATTCAAGTAAAACTACCAACTGACTGAAATAAAGGAAAAATATAGTTTTGTTGGTTGCCACTAGTTTCATGGAAATGAGCATCATCAAGCTTGAAATTGAACCGAAATTATTGAATGCAACATTTCTTTTAAGTCCATACTCAAATGAGACCAAGGCATAAAATAGAGAAGAAACAATAAAAACACGCAACAAAGTAATAAGAATACAGTTTCTAGTTTCGTCCAATGCCTGTTGCGGTGTTGACCAAAGGAGTAAATGTTTTTCGAATGTCCCTCGTATTATTTTGTAACAAATAAACTTATTTTAAAAATACTTAAGGTTCATAGATGATGATTAATTGGCTAAAATTGTAATCAACGTAATTCATAATTATATAAAAAATTCGTAAATGTGCAATGATAAAAAGTAGTAAAAAACGTTTTTCGTATATATACAGGAATCTTTTTTTCCAAAATGTATCATCGTGCTCTATCTTAAAAATCGCGACAAAACCGCCAGATGTAAACATACCATAAGGCCGTCTTTATTACTCTTCAGGCACTTTCTCTCTCGTGCCCAAACAATTAAAACGACTCACAGTTTTATTTTATTTTTTCTAAAAACATTTTGAATGACTCGTTATTTAAAAAGATGTAATGATGATGGTCGATAAAAAACGCGGTGCGTGCCAAACAAAATGGCGTTCCAAACGTCAATTGCGAAATACCAAACTTTTCAAATGTCACAGAGAGCAGATTTCCTCTTACTCCCTTCAAGGCGGATCAGTAGTGGCGTCTTCTTTGTCCCGCAAAGCCTTTAGGAGATGGCTCCTGAGCTCTGATTCAGAGCTCCTCCAGAGCAGGACTAGTTCGTCTTTCGAGAGACGCTCTAAGGGAGAGCGGCCGTTGGAGTTTCGCGGGGAGCAGTTAGGGGGAGGTGGAGCCGGGGGAAGGTCGTCCTCTCGGGACTTTGACCTCGAAGTGGCGCGGGGTCTTCGACGGCCTGAGGAACTCGGGTTTGCACTATCTAGGGATTGCGATTGCTCTGTTAACCTTAAAATAAATAAAATAGTTAACTTTTTTAAAAAGAAATTGTTAATACAGAAAGTAATTAATAAATATGACAAACCTTGATTGTATCTCATCGTCTTCTTTAGTCAAACCTACTCACCTATTTCGTTTGGTAGTTTCTTCAGACTCAGCAGCATCTCCCAGGCTTTGGTGTCTAGTTTTAGGCTTTTTGGTTAGTGGAGGATGACGGACTTCGTTCTCTGAAGTATCTTCTACTTGGATTCGTATCTGGGGATTGGTGTTTGTTTTTGGATTATTGTCTTTTGATCGTTTTAGCGGTGGCTTTGGATTTCTAGTGACTACACTCTGAAATAATTAAAAGTGTTATTGTTCTATGGTATTTGATAGACTAATAAATAGTTATTTTGGACCAAGACTTTTTACATCACAATTTGTCACATTCTCCCATAATCTATTTATAACTCGGATGAATCAAATGTTGTTAAGGATCATAGCTCAGAATCCTTTCAACGAGTGACATGTTTTTTCGTGCCTAAAAATATGACATATAATAAATAAATGGCTTAAATTTTGTAGAATTTTTCTTTAAAAATCGCAAATTAATTTCTATTACATACAAGTGCTATTCTGAACGTTATTTTTAAAAATAGGATATTTAATAATGAAGTAGTTGATGTTTTAAAGAAATTACGCATAAATGGTATATCTGGGTCAGCAGTATCATCTGGTACAGTGAATATTACATTACAAATAGATAAAGTAAATATGTGTCTTGAATTTCAACTTTTGTGAACCATACCCTTTCTTAAATCATTGACTCAATTAGAAATAAATATTACCTTTAACTGTCGAATAGTATCCTTATTCCTCCTAGCTACCTCATCATCAGATAAATTACATTTTTCGTTGGTAGGCTGCGACAAATTATTGAAACTCCTTGCCTGACCGACGTTCTCAGCTTTGAGGTTTTTACTCAAACCTTCGTCGCTTTTTCCCAAAGTCAAACTATACTGTGGTTGCAGTAGTTTGTGCTTATCGAAAGAGTCTTGTTGGTATCTCGGAAGAGTGGCTAGTTTTTTTCCTATTGATTCGGAATCTGACAGTTTTCGCATTGGTTCTGAGTATTTGCTACAATCTGAGAGGTTCTCTATGGATAATATTGGACTTTTTCCAGCTAGTTTTGAGCCGGAGCAAATTATATCTAAGTAACTCGACCTAAAATAGAAAAACTTATATTTTAAGACCTACTTACAGTACTGTAGTACTATAATACCAACCTTCGGCTATTAATATCAGGAGGCGAACTTGATAAAAACGCAGAAGCGTCTTTACTGAGCCTTCTTCCAATAACAGCACTGTGATCTTCTTTATGAATAGGAGATGAATTAAATACAGAATCGGTACTAAATCTTCTAACGTTCAAGGTGGTTGAACTCTTCGCCTTGTTTTTCGACCTAGGACTGAAAATTTGTTTGTTGAAATAGGCTGTAGGAGATCTTGCTTTGTTTCCGTTATCAGCCTTAGGACTGGACCGCAGGAAAGTTCGCCGGATGATACTAGGGCTCAATTTTGATTTCTTTTCTTCTGGAGATACTTGACATTCTGAGTCAACCTCGGTGACTGATTCTAACGGCGGTTCTCGTTCTTCTTGTTGTTGCCTACGGATCGTGCTTTAATAGAAAAAGTTCTATATGAACATCTACGTAAACTATTGGCTAACGGCTATTATTGGTATGGATAAGACAAAAGAGGTTTTCATGCAAATGATCGATGTAATAATATTCAATTCTATGGTATTAACAAAAAGTGAAGTGACTATGGTATGTTGGTATGCCGTACTGTACATGTCATAACAATAGTTTTACCAAAATATGATTAAAACTGAAAACACTGTAAAGAAGAAACGTTTTTTAAATATTTATCATATCGTCAAATTCTTGTTAATGATTTAAAAACAATATTGTCTTAAAAACGCTGTTACATTTACGGCTTGATGATGTTTCATTTAATATCGAATAAATGAATATTGTATCTAAACAATTTTTTCACCATTTGAAAGTTTTACATACACGTTCTTTTCAGAAAATCAAGACAGAGAGTAGCAGCAAAAAAGCAATGAAATTTCTGGTCAGGTATTAGATGGATAACCTGCTATAGTCTATTTTTATGTATGAGAAAGTAATAAAACAGCATTTCAAATGCAAAACTTGGTACGGTCATTTTAAATATTTTTACAGAATAACCTAAATATTTCCTAAAATTGTAATAAATGTACCTGAGCTATTACAAGTTTTGGGTCTTTTATTGGTCCTTTATGAACATAAGCTGTACAGAACAATAGAAAAAGGTTTGGACAGGCCAAAAGCCCTGTGTATTAAAGATTACATAGCCGTATCTTAAAATTATTTTCAATAAGTACCTATTTGCCAATTTTGTTTTATTTTAATTCCAAGAATTTCTTACAGTAATCGAATTATAAGTAGATAAATACCTTCCCAACAAATTTCACCGAAAATGCGATTATAGGTTTTCCATTTAGTAAGGAGGTATTCTTGACAGTTTACTAAATGTCGTTTAGTTGCAACTTGCAAGGTGCAGTGTGAATTCTAGTGTGATCATGGAAAATTTGGAAAAGCCGCGTAAACGACTAAAAATCGGTCCTTTAACAGTTAATGAAAAAACATTAATATTTAATTGTTTTAAATCATTTACAACATTTATGTAAAAGTGTTGATGACACAGTGGAATTAGTTAGTAGTACGCTTGGTGTTGGGAAATCTACGATTTACAGAGTTGTTAAAGAAGAGAAATGTGGCGAGTTTCAAACAGCACGTATAGCTCCAGGAAAACCAAAATTTCAATTAGAAAATCTTTTGAAAGAAAGACTTCGAAGGAAAGTGCATGCGTTCTTCTTTAGAAAAGAATTTCCGACAGTAGACAAAGTTCTTGCCACGGTTCGAGATGATAAGGATTACCCTGAAATAAGTCGAAGCACACTATGGAAACTTTTAAAAGAAATAGGTTTTCTATGGAAAAGGCATTCCAGAAAGTCCATTTTAATTAAAAGAAGCGATATTGTAGTATGGAGAAGAAATTACCTAAGGACTATAAAAGAAATGAGAAACCAACGAAGAAATATATTTTATTTAGATGAAACATGGATCAACGAGGGACATAAACCAAATAAATGTTGGCAAGATGAAACTGTTACAAGTCGAAGACAGGCTTTTTTAAATAATTTATCTACTGGTTTAAATCCACCATCAGGAAAGGGGCGCAGACTAATAATAGTACACATCGGTAGTTCAAACGGTTTTGTTAAAGGTGGTTTATTTACTTTTGAATCTACTCGTACCGGTGACTACCATGAGGACATGAATGCTGATGTCTTTAAAGAGTGGTTCGAACAAATTATAGATCTTCTTCCTCAGAACTGTATAATAGTAATGGATAATGAAACTTATAGGAAAAATGCCCACAACCAAGTGGTTAAAAAAAGATTTACAGAATTGGCTAAATTCAAAGAATATTAAGTTCCATTCCGGTTCTGTGAGAAAAGAACTGTATCATTTGTGTTCCCTTCATAAAGAGAAATTCAAAAAATATGAAATTGATGAAATTGCAAAAAATCGTGGGATGACGGTGGTTAGATCAGCACCATATCATTGCGAAGTAAACCCGATTGAACTGATATGGGCACAGATAAAGGAAGAAGTTTCAAGAAAAAATAATTCTTTTAAAATGTTAAACAATTGTTTTTGGAGGCTGTAAATAATGTGAAGCCTGAAAACTGGAAAAAGGCAGTAAATCATACGATTAAAGAAGAAGAGAAAATGTGGAAGTTGGACAATATTACTGATGAAATGATCGAGCCACTCATTGTAAATATTGGTTGCGACAGTTCATCTTCTGATTTCGATTCTGATTTGGATTTGTAGGTAAGAAGTAGTTTTTATATTAAAATTATTATTTATGAACGTAACGTTGTTTAAAAGTCAAAGTTTAAACCCTTATACCTACATAACCCGTTTGACACAATGTTCTTAACATACCTTGTGGAAAAATAAAACATTTTAGAAAAAATTGCACTTTTTTACCTTCAGCTATTTAGAAGTTATAAGCAGGTTAATTAGGTGAAAATATAAGTGTATACTCGAGGAATAACTGGATGGATTACGAACGCTTTATTATTTTAATACTCTCTTATACATAAAAATAGACTATAGGATAGGTTTAACCATCTAAGATTTAAAAATAGTTCTCAAATGGTGGTGCAATAAGCTTTAAAGGCTGCAATTCTGCCACATCTTAGTTCTAGCGGCTAGAAACGGCACTGTGTAAGAGCAGGAAGGGCCAAAAACATACGTTCTCACAACAGGATCTGATCATATCAGCTTTGGCTTACCCATTAAAAATTTAAAGAAAAATTAACAAACATACTAGTAAAATTCCTAAAATGCTTACCTACGGATTTCCTGGATCATTTCAAAAAATTGAGCTTTAGATTTTCTGCGCCTGCGTTGTTCGTGTTCCTTCTGAAACAATAATCATCAAGACAATTGTATCGAATTTTCTAATTCATTGTATTGAACCTTTGATGGTAAGGTGTGTTATGTATGTGTAAGGTGTTTCACGGTGCTATTTCTCGATATATTGTGTTAGGAATTTAAGATTTAATTATTCTATTTACGCTTGTAGAGATATAATCTATTTTGTCTTTATTATATACAGGATGCGCCATGCTCATAGGGATGAAGCCTACATACGATATTAAATAATTTAAAATTATTTTCATGTATATTGAGAATTCCAAATCAGATTACTAATATAAAGTTATATTGGTTATGTGGGTTACTATAGTTTAATTCTTAAAATTATGTTAGTTTAGTAAAAGATTTTCTATAATTCTTTTCTAATTTTCCATTTTTTTTTAATATAGTGCGAGTGACATTAGTACTTACTCTTGTTTACAAAATAAATCATTAGCAATTCATTTCAAGCAGTTGTAACTTTTCATAAAAATTATTAAAATATTCAAAAATATACGGAGGGTTTGCAATTTGTCAAATATTTTATTTAATAACTGCGATAAATTAAATGGATCACTTTCTATTTTATGGTATCAATATGAAGGGAATTATATTTGCTTTAAAATTTATTTTTGGTTCTCAATACCCATATCTACTATTTTAAGACTCATTTTCTATATTTTTCGAAGAATTTATTTTTAAAGAAACATATTTTTACTGAAATTTGAAAATAAATTATAAATTTACATTACTTGCTGTAATTAGTACCTAATATTATTAAAAACCATCTTAAATATTTATTTATATCCTTTAAAATCTCCAAACTAAAGAATATTACAAATACTCATTTTAATATTTAAGGGTAATATAATGAGACCTTGAGTCAACTATTCTTAATGTATCTAAATTTTGAGTGTTTTTGGTACCAATTTGTCGATACATAATTTTCAAGATTGTTTTTTCAAAAATTTTAATTTGTTTTAGTTACCCGCCACTGAGGTTAATCGAGAAATATAAATAAGTAAATATTAGATGAACTAAAAATACACAAGGCATCAGGTTAAGGTACTATCACAGCGAAAATAATCTGGGTCAGCAACAATTTTGGTTAATGTAGCTTTTTAAAAACGAATTATAAAATTTAATTAAAAAAGGTTTACATTAATGTCATGAAGGTTGACAGGTGCGATACTTAACTTTTTAGTGGTAGCCTTGGTTACAAAACTTCCCCTTTTTAGATTTCATAATATACTTTCTTATTTTTCGGATTAATTTTGCTAATTAGATTAAAATACAGTTTACTGGTCCAGATTATTTCCACTGTAATGGTATATTATGTGCTATAAAATTTGATTCTGTTATAAAACTAAATATGTAAACAATGTTTTGTTAATCTTTGCACATCAAGAAATAAAGAATTTTTGACTTACCAAAAAAAAAATTATAGCCTTCTTATTTTAAAACATGCACAAATTATTTCACAAATCGTCGTTGCCGCGGTGATACCTCCTATGTGATATTTAATCACATTTTTAGATTTTTGTATCAGTTCATAGAAACTAACATTCTGTACAGTTTAGCGAAACCTCTCATGTAATTTTCTTTTAAAATATTGTGATTTTAGACCTCCATTGGGCGTAATACTTATAAGGCATCAGAACAAAATTGTTACGTTTTTATATCTACTGAAAATTTTGATGAAATGTATATAGGAGGTTTCACCGCGACAACGACGAAATGTTCAAAATGCCCTCCTTTATATTCTAAGCACAATTGGAAAAATATTCGTTCTAAACTAACACCATGTTATTCACTATTGGTAAAAATCGGCATTTTAAAAAGCAAAATAAATCGAACCGCAAGTAAGTCGACATGTATACAACTAAAATTAAAAATAATAGTCATTTGACCTGTAGCAAAAAATGTATAACATTGTAAATCATGTATTAAAAACTTTGCTAGATTTTATTTTATTTATTTTATCACAGAGAGCTCGTTAGGGTTATTTTAGGGTTTACAAATATCAAACAAAAATGGTAAATTTTCAAAACTTATATTTGACAAAAGTAAATTATGGCACTTTTTCTGGAACTAATTTTATATTGTAGCCGCTAATGACATGTACATTGGTGCCAAAGGAATTTTTAATATAGTTTGTAGTCTCCCCACCAGGCTCCATTCCGTTTTTCGTAGCGCACCCTGTATATTTGAATTAATTATATATTTTAGTCACGCGGTTTTGCCAATTCCTCGAGCGGAAATGTTAACCCATCGAGAATATTACAGATATCAAAGGGAAAGGGCTATTTCGGGTTATCGGATTGAAAGTTTCCGAGCGATGTTGGTAATGTTGCAGAGTTTTTAGTATAATTAAACGATTAACCAAAGAGAGTGGTCAAGCAGTCTGAGTTGGCTCCAAGTGATCGGCATAATATGCACAAACAGTTCTGTCAGTATATAATTGAGGTCCTCAGTATACTTTTGATTTCTTAAAGAAACAATTTATTTCGTCATATATATCTTTATAAAAAGTACTTAGTAAAGTACTGATATTAGTTGGGAGATTTACTTTTAGTGAAACTAGTTTTTTCATGAATTTGTCGGAATTGTATTTGTATTTGGAACAGTTAAAAAATATATGGTTCATTAAAATAACCAAAAAAGGTTGACAGCTGTGTGCACGTAGTTTAGATTCAAAAGGAAAAACTTGTATTTCGTGCAAAACTTTTTTATTAATCAATGCAAAGCGCTTTCGGCTTATTTGCCATCATCAGTGCTCGTCTACAAAAATTGTGGATGTAAACTTACAATTTAAAAAGATTTTAAAAAATATATTATAAAATCTGAATTAGACTTTTAAGTCAAAAGTTAAAATAGTATATATACAATTGTTTGAACAAATTAAAAATTACAAGAAACAAACAAAGTGACAAAAACCTGGTATTGGGAATAGTGAATAGTTTGTAAGGGCTTATCCCACACTCACTATTCCCAATACCAGTTTTTTGTCACTTTGTTTGTTTCTTGTAATTTTTAATTTGTTCAAACAATTGTATATATACTATTTTAACTTTTGACTTAAAAGTCTAATTCAGATTTTATAATATATTTTTTTAAATCTTTTTAAATTGTAAGTTTACATCCACAATTTTTGTAGATGAGCACTGATGATGGCAAATAAGCCGAAAGCGCTTTGCATTGATTAATAAAAAAGTTTTGCACGAAATACAAGTTTTTCCTTTTGAATATATGGTTCAAGTCACCGACTGTTAAGTTCTCATACTCACATGTCAACACTCAAATATAAACATATAATTACTTAAAAAAGAAGTGGCTAATGCCTTGTCATTTTGGTAATTAGTTCCATCCAAAAACCCATAAATATATTAGCTACTGTACTACAATCTCACGGGAAAAGTCTAACAAATTGAAATAAGAACTAATTTTAGAACAATTTATAAGAAAATCTTTTTTAGTGTAAAAAATTATTTTTATTTGTTTCTTTCATCGATTTTTACTGTCGTCTAAATTGATGATAGTATTAAAAGTTAAACGTAAGCATATTTAGAAGTTGCTAAGTGTTTAAGTAACGCACAAATATTAAAGCTCCAAAGCCGTAATGGAAAAATTTCTTTCCCGAGATAGTAATAACTGCAAAAAGTAAAAAAAGTCAAAGCGTACGGTATTAATACAGTGCCGGCTTTAAAAATTTCTTCGCTGCTGTTACTGGAGCGCTAAAATTTTATTTTTATTTGGTTTGTAGAGTGGGCGCAATCCAAATGTGTTTTATACAGGGTGATTCATAACTAATGGGACATCGGCTAAGAGCATGTTATTTGGACTAAAATATATGTTAATTATTTGGTATTTACATCAATGTTTTAACAAGAAAAACTCGTAAATCGTTTTGATACTATTATTTTATTAAACTGAAAACTATTCAAAAAATTATTATATCAAATCATAGCATGTAATAATTATATACAGGGCATATTAATATTTTTGAACAATATATCTTAATAAAGTATTGCTGTGGAATAAGATACGGGGCGTTAAATAATAGCAGCAAAAATAATTCACTCACAAGAATTGACATAATGTATTAGACACAATTATCTGACACTGCAAAGCACACTTTTCATAAACAAAATAATATTTTTTTAAATCCCTATCTAAGACTTTTTAATTGCGTTTTTATCGAAAACGAGCGAAATATCGTGTTTAAACAAAAGTACCAATATTACGAAGAAATTATGTTTACATTTTATTTTCTAATCAAAAACATTAAAAAGTTTTGTCAAAGAAGCTACCACTTAATTTTCGGCGGACGTAATTTCGGCCGGTAATCCCCTCGCCTACCTGCCAAAAGCAAAGTGCCCATCTAATGGCCGGCGGATCCTTTTTGCCCACAAATCTCTGTTTTCTACCTGTGTAAGTAAAGGGGTGCGTTAATCTTACTGGTATTTTGCCCACAGTAGCATTCAGGTACCTAAACCCGCAAATTACATCCGCCCACAAATAGGTACCTACCTGATTATTAATAATTCTAATAGGTACTTACTTTGGGTGTTTACTGTTTATATTTCAGTCAGTTTTTATACGTTGATGATTGTAATTCGAGTGTTTATAAACAATAATTATTTCTATAATGTCAGCTACATTGTTTAAAAGCACACGCGGGAAAGATGTACTCCTTTTGGAGAATTTTACGTTTACCAAAGATAGAGAAATGAAAAGTGGAGAAGTTTCTTGGAGATGCTCCCAAAGAAAAACAAATGCTTGTAATGCTACTGTATTTACAATTGGTCCTGAACTTTTAGTATCCAGAGGCAACCTAATTCATAGCCATGAAGCAAATGAACCGAAATTAAACAGGAAAATTATTTCCAATTCGTGTAAGCGAAAAGCAGTTGATGATATTTCGGAAAAACCTTCTAAAATTATCCGTAAAGTACTTGCTACTAATTTACCAGAGTCACTAACTACAATTGATGTGTCCTACATAA